GCTGAGTGCATGCTTGAGGGCTCAGGTCCAAACAAAGCTACAGCCCTGACTGCATACTTAACTCCTGCAAGTTCTACAAGATGAAGTGAGAAGCAGATGAACAGAGAACTTTTTCCAAATGCAACACTGTAGAAGAACTAAAAAACAAATAAATTCATGCACCATTTTGCTTTCACATATAAAGCCAAACTGACTAATGCTGCCAATACTGGATTATTTAACATTTTTCTCTGCAAAGATTACCTTCCAAATAACAAGAATCATGCAATTCAGTTGAAAACTTCTTTTTGACCCTTAATACTGATCATCTTCAAATTAAAGTTGAAATTCCACTGGACTCAGCGCAGTTGGATCTTTACATACAGTTACCTATGCCTCAGCATACATCCTTATTATCATGAATGTTAGCAGGTTCTACTTCCTATCACTTAGATAAACACAAGAAATGCATGTAACAGTCCAAAATATTTATGCAGGTCAGTAAACACCTGTGCTGGTTTTGGCTGGAACAGAGTTAATTTTCTTCATAGTAGCTGGTATGGGGCTGTGTTTTGGATTTGTGCTGGAAACAGTGTTGATAACACAGGGATGTTTTCGTTACTGCTGAGTAGTGCTGACACAGAGTCAAGGCCTTTTCTGCTTCTCACTCCACCCCACCAGCGAGTAGGCTGGAGGTGCACAAGAAGTTGGGAGGGGACACAGCCGGGACAGCTGACCCCACCTGACCAAAGGGATATTCCATACCGTATGACATCCTGCTCAGCATGTAAAGCTGGGGGAAGAAGAAGGAATGGGGGGAGGTTCAGAGTTACGGCATTTGTCTTCCCAAGTAATCATTACAGGTGATGGATCCCTGCTTTCCTGGAGATGGCTGAACACCTGCCTGCCGATGGGAAGTAGTGAAGGAATTCCTTGTTTTGCTTTGCTTGCGTGCGTGGCTTTTGCTTTACTTATCAAACTGTCTTTATCTCAACCCACGAGTTTTCTCACTTTTACCCTCCCGATTCTCTCCCCCATCCCACTGGGGCAGAGTGAGCGAGCAGCTCTGTGGTGCTTAGTTGCTGGCTGGGGTTAAACCACGACAACACCTCTTGCATTTCATTGTAAGTTTACAATCAATGTATTTCTGATCCCAAAAAGGGTACTGAACAGCTACTTCTGACCATTTGCCTAGTCAAAATAAACAAGGCTGAGGTTAAGACACTTTAATCTGAAATTTGCTTTAGGGGAATTTAAGAATCAGTAACTCTCCACCGTGTGCCACAGACATAACTGTAACTGGTAATGGTACAGCCTGACTTCCTCCTCGTTCAGAAGCCTCTCTATGCACAGCCAGCCTTGCTTCTCACAACATGGGACACTTTTTAAGCAAGCACTAGCTATCAGTTTGTGGGTTTGTGAGGTGGGGTTTTTTGTCTCTACTCTTATCCTCCACATCTGCAAATGCTGCCAAGTTCTCCCACCTCTGAATTGTTACAAAAATTAAGTGTCTGTCCGTACCTCAGCCAACAGAGTGTAAAATGCCAGACTGACTTAAACTAGAGAACAGCAGCTTTAATACATTAAAGAAAAAAGTGTCTTTTACTGTGTATGCATGTCAGGAGATTTCACAGCTCCTTGGATTAACTTAGAAGGACAGGTTAACAAATGCAATTGATTCCCAGTGCACTTTTCACTTTCACCAAGATCACAGGTACCTTGAGATTGGATTTCCAGTAGTTTATATTTCCCTTGGTATGGATCTTACTATGCCAAATGCCATTCCATGTTTTTACCAATGATCAGAAACTAAAATAAATCTGGAGAAAGACCGGTGAAATAATAAATCCTAAGAAGGAAGCAGCAGTACCAGACATAACAGGTAAACTGGGTCTATTCAAACATAACATGTTTCATATCAAAACACAAAGTTAGACATCTGTGATTAAGAAATACCTGACATACTCACAGAATGCATGTTGGAAAACACTGATTACACTTTTCCTGAAGTATGTGGGAAATGGATCAACAAGGTGTAAGCAACTAACGCTGTAGGACCCCCTGTGTAATGATCAGCAAAGAGTACAGGTATGCAAACAAGGAAGCAGCAGGACCAAAGAGTAACTCTGCTTTTCAGGTGACATTAGTGGCGGCAGCGTTACAATGCTAAAGACACTCCAGTTGGTCATATTTGTAGTTTCAGAAAAAAACAGAGCAAGAAGGAGGTGGATATGAAAAGGATAGGAGAGCTGAAGAAAATGTTTTACAGTTAGAATCATTAAGACCTCAATCTGTTCATCATATCAATAGCACTGAGAAGTCACTCAGTGGGAAGGAAATGCCAGCTTCAGAAAGGTTTTTAATCTAGCAGAAGAGAGTAAAAGCACTGGGTGGAACCTAAAGCCAAACTAAGTACAGTAAAAAGACATATTTATACCAGTGAGGGTGATTAACCACTGGAACAAGCACAAACAGAAGGATGGGGTTTGCATCTCTTGTTTTGTTTGCATCAAGGCAGGATAACTTTCTGATAAGCCTATCTTCCAAAATTCAAGTTATACTCTAATTGAATGTACTTACTGAGCTTAAGAGTGACATAAGTGAATGGCCTAGCACCCATCCTTCTAATGTAAAGTTTAGCAAATGAAGTTTTGTTCCTGAAAATGAGACTGCTTCTAAAGGACTGGATAAAACTAGATGTATACAAATAATCAGAAAAGGGAAAATAAATAACCCATCAGAGTAGCTACGAGGAACAACAACTCTCTTTTCTGTGTATTTATAGCATTCAGTTTAAAGGAAAAATTTCAGCAACTCAAAAATCAGAAACACAGAGAGATATACCTCTAATTTTTGCTAGTTACCTGCCTCAGCTTGGTGCTTCGTGCTAGACAAGCAGATGTTGGCAGCGTAAGTCTGGCTGCATAACAGATACAAAGCTCCACGTTCAAAATCAGGATGGGAGCACCAGACTGAGAAACTACAATCCTGCAAATCCCAATTAATCACTGAATGACTCTGTAGACAGGTCTGACCTCTAGCTAGTTTCACGGAAAGGAGCAGGGATGGCTTCAAATCTCTACTTCTAGGACTGTCTGCTTAAATTAAGTTAAATGGTCAGTAGGTGAAAAACAGAAACAGAGCTGGGAATGGATACCAGAATTCCGAAATCCCTGCTGCCAAGACAGTATCCAAATTACTACCCTACACAAACTTTTTTCTTCTCCCTGTAAGTGGGATTGAGAATTTCACCCTTCAGCCTTGAACAACATTAACTAAGGAGTCAGGCAAAACTCTTTTCAGCTGCCTCAGTTCCCTAGTGATTAGCTCTAGACAGATGCAGGCTGACAATGCTCAGTACTGAGGATGTACTACATGCCATATTGACATATCTCCTCCTGATTCCCTGGGTTTGAACTCTAAGATCCAAACATGACTTTCTGAATTCCACTTTGGAAGAAAGACTCTTAAAAGTTAAGCCAATGAGGCATTGCATTTGGCTCAAAATATCTATTTGTCCTAAATCTCTGGTTATGCCTCTTCACCCATTAATTTGTCCATAAAAAACTAGAGTTGTAAAGTAATACTAATGTGCCATCTAGCAAAAAACTTGTCAGTTTTTAAATGGTATTTAAAATGCAACAAGACTTACGGTGGACACAGTTCACAGCAGATCTACGAAAGACTGTTAAGTGTAATTATAGCAAGAAGGATGTCACATAATTGCTGCTTACTGACAAGAAAATTCTACCCTATCACATGTAGATAGAAGAGCAGAAAGAGAGAATGAGATGGAACGTAGGTGGGAGGCTTTGATCTACTTAAATTCTCTAAACGCCAGACTGAACAGAGTATGAAGGGCAAGTGACTAGAAGGAAAGGAAATTATGAAAGATTGTTTATTTCATTTTTAAATGGAAAAATATTTTAAACCTTTCTTGAAAACCAACTGTGAAAATTCAGGTACTGTTGCTGAATTGTCACTGTAAGTCGTGTGACAAATTCTATGGTATTTTTTGCCGTAGTTCTGTAAAACACAAAGAAAACTTAAGTTCCCAAATGTATTATCCAGACATGTTTATATAACAAATGTATTTTCCAGATAAGATTTTACAAAAAAAAGAACAAACAAAAAACCCCAAACAAGAAAAAAACAAAACAAACCAAAAACCCTGGAAAAACACAAGCCTCTTCCATTTAGAATTTAGTAGAAATAGTCTGTAAGAGTTTCTCCTGATCTTACTGTCAAAACCATATTTATCTTTTATTAGGCATATAAAAAAACTTACCAGAGAGTGATGAAAAAGCTAATAGAGCAGTCTATCTTTTAGATATTGCTATGCCTTAGCAACTCTCCAGTCACCAATATATTTCCAGTGTAGGCTGCTCCATGTTTTTAAACATTATTGTTTTAGACACCAAGGAAAAAGAACAAAAAGATTGGAAGAAGCTTCTAGATCATCTAGTACATCCTCTTTCTCAAGGCATAACCAAATGTCTGTATCTCATTCTGGACTGATATTTATGTAATTTATTAAATTTCAGAGACTGCAACTGTGATAGCTCCATGATTTGCCCAATCTATGCTGTTATGTACTTATCCTTGTTATTAGGAAGTTTTGCATAAGGTCTTATGTGAATCTTCTCAAGCACAGCCTAAATCTACTGTTTCTTCTTTCATCCACATATTATTTTATTTAACAAATTTGAAGGCTGTTGCCGTGTTTCCCTTTCAAAGGCTGATCACAGCGAACACGAAGTCCTGGCCAGGATCAGATGAACAGTAATAAACTGAGGAACCGTGGTGAACTAATCACGAAAACAAGGCATTGTGTTAGGAGTAGGCAATCCACGGAGGCAGGTTAGACAACTGTCCCTGGTATGAAATCCCGCAATGAGTCAAGAAAAGGAGAACTCTGTCCCCAGAATATAGAATCATAGAATCATAGAATCATTATGATGCAAAACAAAGGGGTTTGTTGACTACAGGGGTATAGGGCTTACTATGTTTCAATTCCCTACCTCTACCACAGTTGTCTTGGCAGCTTTGCACATAGGTTGGTTGAAGTTTCTTGCAGTTTTCCTGTGAAAGAAAAGAAAATTAATAAATAGTAAAAGCTGTAACAGTACGAGGAAAGATTTTTCAGAGATAAGCTACTACAAGTATCTCTGTAATATAAACATCACAAATCTTTTCACCAAGTAGCTAGACTAATAAAAAAACAGAAGGGAGGAAAAAGTATTATGGAGTTGTGTAAGATGAATATGAAATTAAATCATATTTTGCTACATTAGAAAATATTAATTACAGCTCTTTTGACTTTTAATCAGCACAATATTTAATTGAAAATGGGTATGCTACTGATATCTTCACTTATTAGATCCAAGAGCAGCAGCAAGCTGGGCTTTGTACAATCTACCTTCCCATTATTTCACTGCGCAAAGAAAGGAATTAATCTCCACAGGGGGGCCAGCACAGGGCCTAACAACCTCTCAAGTCCCACATATGCCTTCATAATTCAGACTAGGACTTCGGATAGCACTTTGCACAGTAGTAAATTTAATCCAATTCTCTTGATTAAAAAAGCTCTGCCAGTTTTGGCACTCACTGCAAGACTCTGGCATTCATCCTAAGTATTCCCACGCAGTATTTCTGTAATAGAAAAAAGAACCCCTAGGGAATAAAAGTAACACATGACATGTATAACCGTGCTGGGATCTGCACTGAGATCCTAGTAAGCACAGGGGAAAACAAGTGACCTGTGTCAGCCCCTCTCTGTATTTTTCAGAAGGCAAACAAAACTGTGTGGCATAATATTAAAGAAAAATTATGTATATTTTAGTGGGGTTCCACTGATAGTTTCTCAGCATTTTTCTCTTTTAAAAAGTAGAATTCTTGAAAATTTTTCATCAAAATGCATGAAACTAGGATTCAAAACAAGTCAAAACCTCCTTTCCCTCCATCCCCTTTCCACAGAAGCCTTTTTTTCAGACCATCCTTATTTCCCAACGGCGCCTCCTGCTTTCTTCACCCTTCTGTGCGATGACCTTGCCTAGTGCTATAGCCGTGCTGAACTTTGGGATGCTGCTGCCACCTCGTGGCTCTGGAGGAGGTAGGGAATTGAAATGGCCAAATCTTGAGACTACCATGCAGTTTTAACAGGATTTCTGCTGCAGACATCTTCAGAATCAAAGCTATACCCAAAGACACATATCTTGGGGAAATCCTGTTTTATTGGCAATACACAGCAGCTGCAAAGCCTCTAACAGAGCCTACAGAAGGGACAATATCTTTTGGCCTTGGGTCTCCTCTGTGGCTGTGTAAAAACAAAAGGATGTAAGAAGAGGAAACCATAAAAAAAAAAAAAGAATTTATATTCTTCTCTTAGTGCATGAATACAATACTACCTAGTAGCAATTTAGAGAAAACTACCCTAAACTAGGTAGAGTAGAAAATGAAAAGAAAAATAGAGTTACAAAAGCTGAATTAAAATAGCAGGGGAATGGATACAGATGGGGAAAGGCAGATATGAAAACAAAGAATTCAGTATTTCATCCCAAGCAACTACTTTTCTGAGCCAAAGACTTTCTGAAGATCATAGTGGCTGGTCTGCCAGCAAAAGAAATAAATATATTATTTTCAGAAGGCAAAAACCATAAAATTATTTTTACATAGGGGAAAAAGTTACAAGAAAACACTTCAATGTCAAATTAAGAAGAGTTAATGGGCTTAATTCTGACCCTATTAAAAGCTTATGCAATTTAGAATGTTCTTGGGTTAGTAAAGTTGTTTCAGAAGCAGAAGCCCTTTACAGGATTGAAGGTCTTATTTCTAAAGAACACATCATCCAGAAGAAGAAAAAACAGTAACACCATACTTACTTTCCAACACAGATTAATGTTCAGGTTTTTGGAGTATGAAATCCAGAAACTAGCTAGCCAAGTTTGCCTTTTTATTTTAAGATAGCTTTCTGGACATCTAGACTCAGTAATGTCTACAAAGTCCATTGTTCCAGCAATGGATTCCTAAGCTGACCCAAAGGCATGACAGCAGCTCTTCTCCCAAAGGCAAAAGATAGCAAACTGATTCATAGTAGACTAAACCAACTAACTACATCCCCTACGTACCTAATGGTGCAGAGATGAAGGGACACCTCAGACATGAGCTGAATTTACATATTGCGGAACCACTTCATGCATGAAGAGATGACCACAGACAGCAGAGGCCCTGACTGAGGTTATCCCTTCAATGTCTGTGTTCCTTTGTCAAGAGCATACTTTCATTGGCACCAAACCACACCTCCCCTTGTAAAGTGGAAGTATATTGGACTAGAACAACTCCAAAACAGAATGGTACCAGATGAAAAGGGAGGGGAGCCAAAGGAGGTAGAATGTCCACAAAAGCAGTGGCACTCCCTGCTCTTGTCCCTAACGAGCAAAGCTCCAAGGGAGCTTAAGACCTGGAGACACTGTGTTCTGCTAAGTAGAACTAGTACCTGCATTGAACTAACAAAGCGAAATGCCCATATATGCATCCTTTCAGCTAGCACAGGGACAAGGTAGGATTATTTCATTATGTTTGAGAGAGTCTTGGATTATTTGTCTTGGTAATGGTGCTCTACACCTAAGAATTATTATCTACTGGGCCAGACACAGATCTTGGTAAAAGCTGTGGTGCAGAATAGTCGACTCAGCATAAAGATGCCCAGAAGGAAAGCAGCCACAGCATGCTGTATGGAGCAAAAGAGCTAGGGGACATGAAGTACCATGTGGAAAACCCCATTTAAAAAATTGCTTTCTAAAGGAGCTGGTGCCATTCCGGATCCCCAGGAAAACAGTATAGCTTCATGTATGAGAATACACAAAAAAAACTCATGCTGGCCTGTGGTCCAAATAAGTCTACCTAAAGTACATCCTTCAGATTTAAAAAAGCTCTTAGCCTGAGGGTGATTAACAGTTTGGCAGACACTTACTCGATTCCTATTGGCTGCACAGATACCAGAGCCATCGGAAACACACTATAGATAGTGCCACACTGCTGTGAAAGCGGTGGCAGATGTGAGTAAACACAGAGCCTATGTGTATCTAGGCATACCTCAACAAACAAAAACGGAAGTCACATAATAAAAAAGTATGGAAGGCTCCCACTGGCAGTGAGTACATACTCAGTATGTAGCATGATGTCAAAAATTCGTTTTCCTTTTCATCCTGTAGATCACACAAATATTGCTGTTATATTCTAGTCTATTACAGTTTCCTCCTCTGTTGTCTCCTGCAGGCTATGAGATGTGCGTATTTTTCTCTGTTGTAGGCCATGAGGTAATCTGTGTCTCATCCAAAAACAGAACGGGTCACTGCTTATTATGACCAAATTCTTTTAAGCCAGCAATACTCTACATGGAATAAGACACTGGATAATGATGTTTCCATCTCTGATTAGTTACACTTGAACGGAGTTGTCAAGATTTTTAGGTCTCCACTCCAGATGGAAGTAGTATCTGGTATCAACTGTATTGTGTGAAAGTGAGAGACATATGAAGACTTCTGAAAGGAACAGGAGGGAGAGGGAAAGGCATAAAGAGAGACCACAGGACGTAAAGGAAGAGGGGGAAAAAGGGAGAACGCAACCAGTCTGCTTCTGCGGAGAATAAAAGAATTTTTCAGAGGTAAGTAAACATCAGTAGATAGATACAGGGTAACAGCGCAGACAGTAGAGGCTCAAGATCAAACAAAGACAAGCCCAACGGGGAACACTGTTTCCTGTATTCCATGTCCCAGAGCCTCAGGAAAGCAGTCTAGCAGCCATTAAATTCATGTGCACACACACAAGAAAGTTCAATCAGAAACCATCTTGTCTTGCCAGTGGGCAAGCCAGGATGTCAAGAGTTGGGTAAAATAAAAAATTCTTTCTTAATTAATTTTCAAGTATTTTAATTTAGTATTATATCTGTAAGATATTTAGATAAAAGCTTATGTAAATACATGTGTATATGTACATATATATCCAAAAAAAAGCATTACTTTATCGGTGTTATTTTATCCGCATATTTTTCAGTTACTTTTTCAACTCCTTGTTTGTTTTAATACATACAAAGCCAGACTGCATCATTCAGCATCTTCTTGTATTAAACTGCAACTGATTACCGTAACACTTACCTTTTCATCTGATAGCCATAAAACAAACAAATAAAAACCAGACATTAAACATAAGCAAACCTCTCCTGCTTCAGTTCAGGACAAACCAGAGCACAAATATAGCAATTCCAATAAATGATGTTATCACTAGTGCAACGCCTAAACTTTTCACTACAAAAGATGTTTAAATTCATATGATGCCTCTCCCTACACCACTGAGATCAAATCAACTTTAAAGACACTTTTCTAGGGACAGAATCAAGTTTTCCCATCACTGACTGGCCAGGAGACTGACTCAGCTCCCTTCTCTTCTGACATACATGAACCTGCACTTCTTGGGTCAGCCTTCAATTGCGCAAGGAAAAGGACCCAAACTAACATGAAAACTGAAATGAACAGAATGTCACTACATTTCTCCACAGTCATCATAATGACTTTGGTCTGCTATGTTTCATTTTTAACTACCAATGTTTTATTTCACAGCTATGTTTGAATTCTCAAAAGTCATTAGAAAAAGCAATTATATTTTGTTTTTTATAGCCATATA